CAAACCTTGGGTATAACTATCTGTTGAGTTTAATCTGTCAAATTTGCTGTCTATTTATTGTGTGTTTTTTACTTGTGAGCAGAGCATGTGCAAAGTGGTTGCTTTTCTCTGATATCCATCAACATTTTCACAACTGTAGCAGCCTGTAAAAATATCATTTGAAGATCAGACTTAGTGCCTCTGAAAAATGTAACCTAGAAAAGAAATGTTTGGATATGAATAGGTAGTTAAATGTGGACTAACTATCAGTATTAGATATATGATGTTCTGTATCCTACATGTTTTTTTTTTCACAATTTCATTCAGCATTTCTCACATATTGTTTTATCATAAATCTGTCAATAGGAAGCATTTCTAATAGCAAGGGAGGACGATCATGCTTGATGCAGAAGGTTCCATGGACACAATATTTAACCTGAGATCCAACAAATGGAACTATATTGGTTCTCCAATCTATTCAAAGTGATCTATGGCTTTATATTACCTGGAGGCTAAAATTAATGAGTTATATGAGTTCTTTCCCATGCATTAGATAATAGTAGAACCGAGTGTCATATACCTTAGTGCTCCAATGTACATTTATTCCCTCTACCTGGACGATTAACCATTTGACTTAAATTAAATTATGCTCCTAGCTGATCAAACAAATTTACATGCATGAAAATTAGAACTTTCCATTTTGGAAGATTAGAAGCATTTGCAAGGAATTTCTAAAACAATTAATTGTTTTATAGATAGTTGATACAGATCATTCTGGAGAGTTCATATTAATTAAGTTAGACTTTATTTGTTGGATTTTTGGTGTTCTATCCAATCATGGTTATTTTTCTAGTTTAGTTCTCATATTGCTTTAGTGACATCTATTTTGGATGATTGTGTTGCGTCTATGGTATAATGCTTCTGTATTTATATTTGCATAGCAAAGAGAGAGATTGTGCATGAAAGGGCATTTTGGTTAGGGAGGCAAAGCCAAGCTTTACATGTTAAAGTTCTGCTTATCAAGCATTTTTGCTTATCTTGAACTCAGTTCCAGATCATCTTTATATATATATATATATATATATATATATGTGTGTGTGTGTGTGTGTGTGTGTGTGTGTGTGTGTATATATATGTATATATATATATATATGTGTGTGTGTGAGCACGTGCTCGCTAAAGTCTGGCTCGTCTTAATCAGAATTCAATCTTTTGCTCAGCTATATACCTCATCATGATGTAGCTTGGTTTTAAAGATTAGCATTTCATTGTGACCAAATTATGTTTCTTATCTTGCTAAATATATTTGTGGTGGTTTGTGATTTTATTTTTATTCTCAGTGATCTGTATTCTTTCTTCTAATGGATTCTTATTAATTTAGTTCACTTTAATATTATTGTTATGTGTATCAAGTGTTAATTATATTGTGATTCATCTGTTTCCTTCAGGGTCATCTTGTGCGGCAGTTTGCCAATAATCATAGCAAAATAACATGTGGTGAGTAGATGTTGCACTTGAACAGTACTATCCTGTTAATGATCTGGACATTGAGAATCCAAATTCTCCTATGACTCTTGCTCTCTTCTATCATAGGATTGGATATTGCAAGATTCAGTAATTATTTATTTGGCAGAGAACTCTAGTTATAAAATATATAACTGTAACCACAGATATAACCTCAAAAAGGGTTCAGTATTTTTTATTTTCTTTATTACATTTAATATAATAGATCATATTCAAGAATCTTTGTAGCTCATCAGAGTCTGATAAGTTGACACATGTAATTTATGACATTCCATTTGTAGTAGATTATATTCAAGAATCTTCATATTCCCTTATCGTCCTTTTGGCTAAGAACAAGTGTAGTATCTATTCTTATCAGTTTAATATCCAATACATGGGCCATCGCCCTACTATCATATTAAATTAATTTCTTGTGGGGGAGGGCCCACTACACTACAGTAGGTTGCTACTGGGGCCCTTGTGCGTTTCCCTTACATTGCACTATTGCAAGGGCTCGGTGCACCCCTCAGGAGAAAAAAAAGAATCTTCACAGCTTATCAGACTCACATAAGTTGACATATTTAATTTATGGCATTCCATTTCTATGTTTGATCATGATGTTCTTTCATAATAATGTTTTTTATGCTTCATTATTTATGACTGTTTTGCTTTGTAGCTATTAAAGCACTTTGATTATGTTAACTCATTACACAATTAAAACAATACTTTAAATCATATTCTGTCAATTTATTGAATCTACCTTTTGTTAGTTTAAGTAGGATCATGCGAGGTGTTGATGTTATATGTATACTTTCTGTTCTTTTGAATAGTTATATTCTAGTTCTTTGTGTAGTTATGCTAAATATTACAATTTTTTAATTCAATTACCAATTATTTTATGTTTATTTGTAAGGAAGCATCTTTCCGCATAAGCAGACAGGGAGATCGTTTTTGACTATGCTCCTTACCTTTTTGCTTTGAGCTTAGATTGGAATAGAGTATCTTTCAGTATATACGAAAAGGAAAAATGGAAACCTTCAAACTTAAAACCCGCAGAAGTTTACATTTTGTGTGTGATCATCAAGTTGGGAACAAGTTTGCTATGTTGGTAGGCTGAGGCTGGTTCCCTTGTAACATTGAAAAAAATTCTTGATTGGCTTGGGTAATATGGAGTTAACTTAAACCTGACTATTTTGTTTGAAAACCAACTCATCTGCGAACTCAGCAAGTTTTAATGAGCTGGGCCATGAGTTCTGTAGAACTTGTTTAAATTGATAAAACTCATCTGGCTTAGATTGCAATCGTCAATCATATCATTTCAATTGAAAAAACTTTTGTGTTGGAAAGTTCAAAGATTATGTGTCAGAGATGTTTAATTTATGATGAAAGTGATGGAAGAGACAAATGAATTAATCTCATAAAAGTGCTCTGCATATTTTCAGCAAGACAGATATGAAGTTATAACTAATTGTATCAACCTTTAAATATAATTAAGAAATAACAATATCAGGAGCGAGTATGCCATGGGTTTGCGTCAATCAAACCGTATGCTAGAAAACTAAATGGGTTCCAATTAATCAATTATTGGCTTGTTCTAGAGATTCTACCTGAGCTAATATCCAGTTCTAACAGGGTTATTTGGTTTTTGAATGTTGCCATTTTGGGGCTATAAGAGGCTGGTATTAGGTTGTTTGTCAATTTTTTTTATGGCAAAATTTGATGAAATAATTTCCTTATTGTGAAATAAGTTGTATGAATAACTTGCGAATAACTTTCTCTATGCATGTGTATCAAAGTTAGTGTGAAGTGTTTCCCATCTTTATTCATGAACTTGTGAAAGAAGAGGAAAATCCAACTGCTGCAAAATACCAACTAATTATTTGTTAACCTTGCAATTATGATTCGGATATGTTAATTCTTTCATCTTCTGCTGCCATTTATTTCCATTATTCATACTACCTTTGTATTTCTGTTGAAGTTTGGGCTGGTTTTGAACTTAAAGTGGCTTTTAATTTTCATATTGCAATGTGCTTAAGCATTTACTTTTTGATGTTAATATGGGCATCAAAATCGGATTTATTCTCCACAGACCCAGAGATGCAGCATGAGATCGATGCCTATATTTCTGCAGGCAGAGCAATATTTGATGTCAAATTATGGGTATGTGGCATTTCAACTCTGATTTATTTAAAACTATTTTCTCATGGTTTTCTTGCATTATGCATCTTCATTTAGATTCAATGTATGATTTTAAATTTCCTCAACATTCCAAATGTTATGTTCATTTTGGTGTTATTTTAGTGTTAGCTGTCATTTCCAAATGTTATGTTTCTCAAGAAACATAACATACTATATCTGCATGCCATGGACAACACAAATCTTTATCCAGAAAAGGATGAACTCGTATAGACAGGTGGCACCATTTTGGACTCGCTGCATGATCCACAGTAGGAGATATTTAGAAGAAATGCATTTGCTAACTAATGAAGCGGTCCATGCTTATATATTGACCAGATTTATCACACTTGATGTCTCCCATGAGATGAGGGTTGTATACCATGAACAAGGATTCGAGTACTGAACCATGACGAACATTCTGATTGGTACTGATCAGTAAGACCTGCCAAAATAATGCCTGATTTGTGGAACTTATTTATAATTTTTTACATTGGTATACCAAGGTATACCATGCTATACCAGTCTAACAATGAACCAGTATTCTTGATGGACTAGTATTAAATCCTTGATTCTGACTAAAACTGAATGTTCTGTAAACAGTAACTTGAGGATATAATTGTCACAGATTTGTTGTCTACTTCCTGACCGTAGGATCCTAGTCAGATGAGCATTACATCCTTGTAATGCAAATGCATCAAGATAATATTGGATCTTTTATCTAACATGTCACCGGTAAATGGTTACTGAATAGAATGATTCTATCGACTGGGAACAAGCGGTTCTGATCGTGAAACGTTCCACCTATCTGATTATGATCAAACATACAGACAGAGTGGTAATGGAAGAAAAATATTCACCCGAGCTAAAAGTAAGTATTTTGTAGCAGGCAGTAAGCCTGGCTGTTATTAGACCTTTCCATAAGTGCTATTTTGTGACTTTGCCATGATTGACTTCACAGATCAAAGTTCCACTTGGGTACACAACCCAGTTTGTGTTGACCTGTTCAGATGGAACTAATCTACCACTTAGAACTGATGGGACTAGTCAGCCATATAACTTGGAGAATGATGTTAGGTCAGTCAAGCAAGCTGCTCTTGTTTTCAAATTTGTCTTCTCCTGTCATGCTCAGAGGACAATATTTAGTTTCGCTTGCTCTTTCATATGACTTACTGTGCAGGCTACGTGATATGATTGTGTTGACCATGAGATGCTTCCAGTCTAAGGTAGATACTAATGCCGATGAGATTCTTAGTGTAAATGCTCCTTCATGCATTACAGCTACTGGTAAATGTTGTTGAGTTAGACTTTCTTTTGTTCCACTTAGCTTGAAATTTTGTATGTAATAGTACTGCAAACTCACTAAAAAGTTTTCATGAAAAATATACTTTGAGAACAATATATCTTATCTAGCATAGGGTTTGTGCTATTATTGTTGTTGAAGTTGCACATGTTGACAATTAAGTGCTAATTTGAGTAACTATTTTAAATGACCAATCTATGTGCTGTTTCAATGTAACTAAACTGGTGCGTTTCTCACGTCTCTTACAAATCCAGAAAAGTATAATATGTTAAAAGAATATTATGAGTTAACTATTTCCAGAAAAGTAAATGTGATATTCCTACATACTACCAAGTAAACTGGCAATGCATTCCTACAATTTTTTTTTTTTTAAATCTAGGAGGTGTGTACTTTGGGCATATCCTATTTTAGGATTGATCATTCTTTTCTCCATTGTTGTTGTTGTTGTTATTTTTCTGAGGTACGTTTGTTTTTCATGCAACTGTCCTGCTGATCTTGAATCAGTTTATTGCAGGCTGTTGATGCTAAAAGAAAAGTCAAGGCCTAGATGATATGGTACAATTTTTTTTTGTTTGAACGTTTAGAGGCAAGTAAGTGTACGGTCAACTTTTCTTTTTTTTTTTTCTCTATTTTTAAAGTGTTTTCTGTTTTTGAGTTTCAATAATGTGGGTTGTGTATAGTTTTCCGCCCTGTGTTGTCATAAATTCAAGCAAGGATTACGGTGAGAGGATGGTTTTTTCGTTGATCTGTTTTGTGTTCTTAAGCAAATTAAAGTTATTCTTTTGATTATAGTTCTGTTACTTGAGATATTTCTCTCTAACTAAGAATCATGGATGAACATGTTTTTTTTTTTGTATGTTTTGCTTTTTCCTGTGAATGAATATGAATCTTGATATCGCAATGAGGTAGTAAGTATGGGAGAGAAAGTTGGATGCAATATGTATATTGTAGTAAAAGAAGAGAGAGAGAGAGAGAGAGAGAGATCATCTGTTCCCCTGATTGGAATTGCAGTTGTCGATGGGTACAAACGAACGGATTACCGAATCTGATGGAACCGCAATGGAATCAGATTCCGAGGAAAGAGAGATGAAGGATTTGGTATTATCCTTCCCAGAGCAAAAGTGCTCCGCCTTTTCTCTCTTTCGTATTCCAAAGCAAGCATCCAAAAGAAGGGGTTCCGAGGCAAAGATGAGGGTTGACATGTCACACTAAGTAAGAGAAGGCCTCATCGCACGCCAGTATGTCATTCCTCCCTCCAGCCAGAACAGCTTTGCTCGACAGACAGACAGACCCGAGTCCTAAGGCGATCATAAAGCATCTAACAAGCAAACAAAGGATCCTTCATCCTTCATGTGGCTAAATTTAAATTTTTCATTAAGGAGATTATGTTCTACTACCTTTTTTTTTTTTCTTTTTTTTTTTGCATGTGAAAACACAACAAGTGGAGGTCTAAATGTTACGTCAGTACCAATTCGATATTATTTAAACGTCTCATTAGGTCGACACATTAGTCATGTATCTCACATGGTCGGCACGATGTGCAACGATGTTAATTGAGATGCTTGACGGTTGTGATGATTCTTCATGTCGGACTAACATTTGATAATTTCGTATAATTGCTCATACCAATTAACACACACACACACACATTCTCGACGGTTATTGAAGTATTGGGCCTACTATGCACAGGAGAAGACCCACCACTTTTAACTATTTGAACCACGCCCTTATCATATCCAATTATCTTCTCACACCAAGCTTGCAACGGATGTGGACGAAATCTAAGGTTGGCTGTGTGATCCGAGTCGGAACAATCAAAATATGAGATAATATAATTTCAAAGTAAAAAATAGAACCATCTAGAAAATAATGGGGGCATTCCTTTAATCCCGAGGATTAATTTCTGAATCCTCCATGTTCTTCGAATTTGATTCTTGTGGTAAAAGAAATCCGATCGACCTGCTGCATCTCTCCCACACATCCTTTCTGCCGACCTGCATTTGTTTCTTGATTCCTCGAGACCATCGAGGAAGTCAAGTCCATAGGTCTTCTTTTATTTGCAGGAGTCAAGACGGAATATTGACTCGAGTTGCGGCGGCCTGAAGTTGGACCAGAATCACCCAATTTCCAAGGCCCCCTTTTTCCTTTTCCTTAATTCCTATGGTTCCAGGCGGAAGAAGATTAGCTCACCGCAGGAAGGAATAACCGGCTGCACGACTGTCCGACCATCCGAGTGGAGGAGCAGTCGAGGAAGGGTGTTTCGCGTGTGGCTGGTGGCGGTGGGGGACGACGGACCTTTTGACTGCCGTCAACCCAGGAATGACGAGGCGGTCGGTGGAGTCCGTCACCCAGTGATGCGACCGGCACAACGCGTGAGAATGACACGAGGAGGTCGGCTTTCGGCCTCCGGGGTGATGTGATGGGGTTCTCTCTTTTCCATGATGATGATGATGATGATGATGATTATTATTATTATTGATATCTCGACGGAAGCGGGAATGGCTATCAAAGCTTTGCCGATGTGAATATTTTTTGAATAAGCAAAAAAAAAAAGAAGAAGCAATATTTATGTTTATTTCTTCAAACTCATAATTGGTTGACGGTTGACCGACGATGAGATCAGGTGAGGCAGGGCACCTGTTCATTTTCTTATTATCAATTAAAAATTCATGAGCATCGACAATCACATCGCCTTCATGACCTGTAGCAAATGTGTTTTAACACCTCCGGTGGTAATCCCTGTTTGGGCACTTGCCGACTTCCTCCTTCATCTTTCTCGCCAGAAAAGGTCCTCAGGATATCGCCGAAGAAGACACATATCTGTCTCCGCGTTCAACGACAACCAGCCAAAGGAACCTCTCTCTCTCTCTCTCTCTCTCTCTCTCTCTCTGAGATGAGCTGCTCCTTGTGATTATTGTAATTGAGCTGAGGTTTTCCGTGAAGTGGAGAGAGAGAGAGAGAGAGAGAGAGAGAGAGAGAGAAGAGAGAGAGAGAGAGAGAGAGAGAGAGAGAGAGAGAGAGAGAGAGAGAGAGAG